CCAGAAGAATTTTGAGGGTATTTGATAGATACTAGTACTTGTTCTCCCATATTCCTTGATTCTTGCTTCTCTGAGTCATTCTGTTTGTCTGCTCTCAGACTTTGTTTCTGCCACACATGCAGGAAACTTTCCATTACATCACCAGCCCACTTGTACCCTTTATCTCAATCTGAGAACTGGCTTCATTTTGATTGTCAGAGGGAATTAGCAGTTCTAAACCCAGAGGGGTTACAAAATTGAGGTATAATTATTTTTGCTTGGAAACACAAATGTGTTTTTTCCATGTTTGAGTTTTTATTTTTATTCTATTTTTTTGGAGACCAGGTCTCACTGTGTGGTTCATGCTGGTTTTGAACTCACTACATAACAGGCTGGCCTGGAACTCAAGGTGATCCTTTTGCCTCAGCCTCTTGAGTGCTGGGATTACAGGCGTGCTCCAACAGGACTATTGCTATGTCTGAATTTCAAAAATGACAAAACAGTGGGCCAGGGATTTAGCTCAGTGGTTCTGCCACCTGCCTCAAAAATGCAAGGATTCGAGTTTGATCCCCAGTACCAAAAAACAAAACAGAAGGGAATATAACCAGTCAAAATAATTTTTGTTGATCCCTGCTCACCTAAATCTAGTTAAAAGTGATGGGGCCACTTGAGGCTATTTTCATGCCCAAGGGATCAGGAAATACAAAGCTGAGGGGGAATGGTGACTGGGGAGTGTAACAGGGACAGGTAATCAGTAAGATCTGGCCACCTGACTGGATGTAAGCAGGGAAGAAAGAAAAGGCTATAGTGGTCACATTAGGAGAAAGTTGGGTTTTATCCAGATGAAAATACAGGACTTCACAGACAGTCTGGTGGAGGTGTTAGGTGCTATCTTGAGTACTAAATGCTAATTTTATGACTCAACTTTGTGTAAATGGTAGTTGAAACCAAGAAAATAGTGAGAAAACTGAGGAAAAGAGAGCAGAGTTCTCAGTGCTGGGTAAGACTTCAGCAAGGGGTGAGGGAGGCAGAGTAGCAAGTAGTTCAGAGGGAAGGAAGTGAACTGGGATGTTGGCTAAAGCGATGGATAAAGGGGAGAATTTTAAAAACTAGGGGATTATTGGTCCACTCTAGTAGTGAAAGCCAAGAAAAAGAATTGTTCTGTAGGTTGAGAATTTTTCGAGCTGATGGGATTGGGTTTATATATGGCAATTCAAGGGGGTGGGGCATAAGTGCCCTAATGAATCCCTTTTATTGCCAACTTAGTTGGCTTAATTTTTTTGAAGCAAACAACTTATTGGTACGTTTTAGGTATACACAATGATAACACCATAAATTTCATGTAGTATTGCATTATGTTTAGAAGATTATATGTAATTTTATAATTACCTTTTTTTTTTGTGAGACAGGGTCTCACTATGTAGTCGAGCCTGACCTGGAACTCACTATGTAGCCCAGGCTGGTCTTGAACTCATAGAAATCTTCCTGCCTCAGCCTCCCAAGTGCTGGGATTATAGGCGTGTGCGACCATGCCTGGC